GTTTGTCTGCCCAATCTCGCTCTCTGTCTTTCTCTTTCAATTCTCTCATTGCTCTCATGGCATGATGATCAACAAGCCGGTCCTTTTTCATGGAAAATGATCGAGGAGGACACGACGGCAGGCCAGAGGAAGGGCAACCGGACAAGCCGGACCTGAATATCGGAGCATGAACGAGAGAAAGCCGCACTGCAAGACAAGGTTGGAAACAGAAACTGTACAGCACGTACAAACTAGGTGGCTTGCGTGCATCCGGCGAGGTGGCTTCCGCAGTCGTCGTGGTCGTCTGAGCATCTCACGAAGTGTCCTTGCTTCTCTGACAGAAGTGGTGCAAATGCATATTACCGGTTAATGGCGGAACTGCGTCGTTGTAGTTATGGCTCGTCGATGCAGCTCGCGCGACAGGCGCGCCTATACCATGTCCTTGTATTGCATTCACACTTCTTGTGTTGTATGGTATAACGTATCGGCTCCCTTGTTTGTTTGCAGATGTCGGACGATCAGCGGATCTCCCGTCTTGATGCAGTGTTGCGACTGAGACCAAAGTTGCAGTAGCACGCTTTCAAGAAGAAGGTGCTCTGTGCTGCTGCAACCATGTTTCTTAATCACCCAAAATTACACTCTCTCACGACTGCAAATTCAATCTTCTCAATTCGGTGGAAACAAGGAAGCAAAGCAAAGCAAGCAAGGGTCATGCGAGAAGGGCGCCCGCCACTAAACCTGTCACATTGTGAAAGAGCATGTTTTTTCTCGAAATTTTTTCGAAAATCCAAAAATTGCAACAAGAAAGAGAGAAAAGAAATCCAAAGTTGGGGCACCTGACGGCTACACCGTAGCTTCAAGTGGAGAGACAAGGCGGAGAAACAGAGTGTCAGTGAAAAGGTGGGTCTCACGGTCACGAAGGGTGAAAGCTGTTCTTTTCCTCCCTCTCTCTGTCTCTCTCACAGTGCTGTTGGAACATGCACAACTCTGTTGCTGCGCCCACCGGACGCGCTCTTGGATTTCGCTTCGTACAGTGACCCGCTGCTGCTTTTGCTGCTCTTCTGCTCGCTCGCTCGCCCTCCGATGGCTGCCGCGGTGCTGCCATTTTTGATAATCTATGCGCATCTTCGCAGGCACATCACGGCTCTTTCCCTCTAGCTCACACTTTGCCCGAGTTGCCCCTTGTCTTTGGTCTTGTTTGCCGTTCCTCCGCCCTGGATGTGAAGCTTCCAACTTTTTTTTTTTTTCTGGTGTTCATTTCCAATTACACTGCACACGGCAGCACAAGCACAAGCACAAGCAGCAAGACTGTGCACTGCGCTGTCCTGACTGCGATCTTGATCCTGATCTGGTTGTCGATACTGTGTGCAGCATTCGCCATTCTCTTTTTGGCCTTCACTATCGGTCATCTTCGCCTAACCCTCCCCCTCTTCATCATCGCCATCTCATCTCTGCCATCCTCCTACGCTCATTGTACATTCGCCCTCTCGTCGTTCGCTATCAAGCTTGCATTGCTTGAAACGTCGCTACGCCGCCCATCCATCCAAGCGCAGACACGGAGTTCAACCCTCATACTCCTCCAGCTGACCCGCACCTACCTCGTTCGGAAGGCTCCCTCCTGTCTCAGCGGACATCCTTTTCTTCACATAGTCGATCCAGCTCGATCGGACATCCTATCGACACAGTTGCCAAGCACGGACCTGTTCCGACGCAGCGACAACGGTTCGGCCCTTCCGACCCACCCGACCTAGACGATTTGGTTCCTTCATTGCTGAGAGGCGCATCATTCCAGAGGACCAACTGCATCCACCCACCCTCCTGTGCCAATCTTGTATACCATGCAGAACAGTCCAGCCTCGTCCTATAACCCCTTCCCATCGTCATCAACGCCAAACTCCTTTATGGACACGTTCGACTTTGGCAACCCCGATTTCTCTACCGCCAACTCGGGTATCGAAGATCTCAACATCTTCCCCAGCAGCAATACTGCACCTTCTTCTACGCACAACGCACAGTCCGAAGCAGGTTCAGCTCCCGTCAGTCATCATCCAAGCCCTTCCGCCAACTTTGGCCACGTGGCCACTGCTGCTTCATCAGACTCGAACACCCAATCCCACCCTCCATCCAACAGTCACACTGCAGGCATTTACTTGAACAGCTCCTCGCACGCCAGCTCTCCGCTGGGCTTCTCGCGTAACCGCTTCGACAACACCTCGTCGGCCAGCCCACAAGCCAGCGCCAGCAACAATCCTACATCCAACGAGCACAGTCACAGACGCCCGCCATCTGCGGCACCGTCCGACATGAACTTTGCCGGCTCCAATTTTGCTGACTCGAACCACGCTGCGCCTTCGATGCAGGCGTCGCATTCGACACAATCGCAGTCCAATGAGCAGGATGCTCAGGTGCCTCAGCTTTCCATCTCAGACTTACAGCAGATGCTTCTCGAGCGTGAGAGGACCGAACGCATTCAGAACATGCAGACCGCTCTTCTCAAGCAGCAATTGGATCAACTTTCGCGCTTGCATCAGCAGCAACAGCAGCAGCAACAACATCGGCAACAGCAGCAGCCTCAGCAGCCACAACAACATCAGCAGCCTCAGCAGCATATGCAGGGTGCCGGTCCTTCCTCCAATCTGCAACTCAATCTGTCCGGATCCGCAGGGCAGCTCTCGCCTGGTCAGCAGCAGAGTCTCCTGATGGCTTTGCAGAACGCTTTCGCTGCCGGCAACAACCCCAGTGCACACAACAACGTGCTTCAAGCTGCGCAATACCAGCCGCATCAGCAACAGCACGCTCAAGGTCAAAACGCATGGCAGCAGCAACAAGCACAGATGAACGGTGTTCAGGGCCAAGCTGGTGCGCAGGGCGACCAGTCCAACGTATTGGCTCAGTACGGTCTCATCACACCTATGGGCTCTGGACCTTTCAACAGCTCCGCATGCCCACCCGGTTCGGCCAACTTTATGTCCCCCCTCACCATTCAGCCCAACTCGCAGCCTGGTAGTGTCGGTGTGGAGCACAGGCCAGGTCATGACTACTTGGGCAGCTATACTCCTCTTGAGTCGCCAGCCGTGACACCGGCCAGCGTGTTCTCGACGGGTAGCACTGGCATTGTCATGTCTGAGCTCTTTTCACCGCTTACCTCGCCAGCGCTAGGTCCTCAGCCACCAAGTCTGGGCGAGATGATGCTGCCTCCAGCCCAGCTGCAGCACCACCAACAGTCGCAGCAAGCCGCCATGCACGGTTCACCGGCCATCAACGCAGTCAACAGCAACTTCACCCCCACCGCTTCGCCACTTGCCTTGATCGCAAAGGGTTCCTCCAAGATTCGCAAGAACCGAAGCACCACCGCCGAAGCGCGTGCCAACAAGGTTCGACCCTCGCCCTTAATCAAGCCCGTGCCCGGTCCTTCCATCAAGAAGAAGAAGGATGCAGCCAGCCTCGCATCGCCCAGCACAGCAACGCCTTTGGCGAACGGCAATGGGTTGGCCAATGGTGGATCTTCAGGTCCAAGCTCGCGTAGGGCTTCCATCACGGCTGCTCCCGATGCTGGAGTAGGTTCACACTCGAGGCATCAGTCAACGGAAGCAGGACAGAGCGAAGGTACTTCTTCGACGCCTTCGCCGATCGACTTGTCGGGTGGTGGGGCTATGCCTCCTCCTTCGGGCCCGACGAATAAGATTTTGACGCCCAGTTCCATCATGGGTATTCGCTCCAGCCCTTCAAGTGGTACATCACTTGATCAGCGCTCAGCAAATTCCCCCAATAACCGCGGTACCGGTGTTGGCGCTGCCATCTCCTCCGCACTCAAAGGCAAGAACCGCGATGATTTCCAGCAGCAGCAGCAGCAGCAGCAGATCATGATGCAGCAACCGCAACAGCAACAGCCATCAATGGGAATGCCAACCCAGCAAGCACCCCCACACCAAATGTATCCCAACATTGCTCCCTTCCCTTCCTCCACCACTGGGCCCAAAGTGACATTCAATCTTCCTCCCCAGATGGGAGGGATGCCGATCCAACCAGGCGGACTTTCGCAAGCCGATCGGGATGCCTGGATGTCGTACAAGTCAGCAGGCGGACTTGAATCTCGGCGAACATCTCACAAAGCCGCAGAACAGAAGCGTCGCGACTCTCTCAAATTCTGCTTTGACGAACTTCGCGGTCTTCTTCCTGCCATCACACTCGATGAAGATGCACCCAACGGCTCGCTTTTGGGACCGGATGGAGTGGAAGAGGATCGGGAGGCGGAGCACTTTGAGCCTTCTGAAGTGGGTGATCCGGAAATGGCCCGTTCGGCCAATAAAGCCATTAGCAAGGTGGCACTCTTACGACACAGCAACGAGTATCTGGTGCGTCTCAAGAAGAGACTGGAGAGAAGAGACCAGGCACTGTTGGTGTGCAGAAAGGAGATTGAACAGTTGAGGGAGAAGTTGGGTCTTCCCATGTCGGATGATCCTAGTATCACGGGGAGGGGAGCACCGCTGGGATGGACGGATGAGAGTATGATGGCGTATGAATTGAATATGGGTACGGATCCTGGGTCGGGGTTGCATAGTGAAGCGGTTAGCCCGGAAGGTGGCAAGCTGGAGATGGATCAAACTGCATAGACTCCTCGACCACCCACATCCTTCGAATTCTAGGTAGTGCGCCGCCTATCTGGGCTGTCGCATCTTGCAAAATCAACTTCAATGAACAATGTCCTAACCATCCTCGAGCCACTTTTTATCAATCTATGGCAATGCATTGACCTATCATAATATGACATGTTTCAAGTGCGATCGTGAGCTGAATCGGTGTTAGAGTGCGCTTTGGGTTCATAACTAATTGATGGGATGCTTCTAGTCGAGCTGGTACTGCCTTCACCGTACCACAGGTTTCAGCTCCATTCGACAACCTTTCTGGAGGAGGAAAAAAAAAAAAAAAAAAAGGAGAGCAAAAAAATGCAGCGAAAAATCAGGCCAAAAAAAAAAAAGAAAAATGGTTTCAGACGCCAAAAAGGTAGAGACAAAAAATCATTCCCGGCCAGGGAATCGAACCCTGATCTGAGCAGATCACCCACTGACTAACCGATTGCTCGGTTAGCACAATGTTTAATTTTGAGAGTGCCCTATACTAACCATTGTACTAACTGGGATTTGATATTCTCAACCCTTTGTGAGCCGTACATAACTAGCACTGTCTGCTTTTGTTGTTGCATAAGTAGGCTTGGTCTTGGCGTGAAAGCAGCACGTTTTGGGATGACGGTGGAAGGCATGGTCGATCTCTGTGCACGGGGCAGAAGTGAGGTTTTGGTTCTTTTCATCGGCTTCGCAATCTTCGTTCTTCTTCATCATCTCCTCATCCTTTTGTCTTTTACTCTTTCACTCTGGGCCAAAGAACTTCTGTCCAACATGTCTACGCTGTCGGAGGCAGACATTCAAGAGATCTACACCTTTGCCATCGACCTGTCTCGCAAAGCTGGACGTGCTATCGTCGATGGATCCTCGCGTCGCTTTTCGTCATCTGCCGGATTCGATCAGAAGAAAAACACTGCCGATCTGGTCACTGAGACGGATCAAGCTGTGGAAGCGCTGGTGAAGAGCGAAATCTCTTCTCGTTTTCCGAACCATACTTTTATCGGCGAGGAATCTTGGGCAGCCGGGGAGGAGAATGTGATAGGTAACGAGGTGACTTGGATCGTGGATCCTATTGATGGAACTACCAACTTTGTGCATGGATTTCCGTATACGTGCATTAGTATCGGCGTGGTTGTGGATCAAAAGCCTCATATTGGCGTTGTATATGCGCCTTTCATGGATACCCTCTATCACGGTTGTCTTGGCAAAGGATCGTACATTTCTAGTCCACACCATCAGACCCCGCGTCGTTTGCCTTTGGCAAATCCACAACCTTTAACCGACCTCAATCAAGCATTGGTAGCCTTCGAATGGGGTTCGGATCGTCGTAGCGAAATCTTGAGCAAAAAGCTCTCATCATTCGCCAAGATCACCGGAGACGCATCTGGAGGCGTGGTGGGCGGAAAAATGGCCCAAGGTGTACGAAGCATTGGTAGTGCTGCTTTGAACTTTTGCGCAGTGGCTAGTGGAAGTTTGGATCTATACTGGGAGATAGGTTGTTGGGCTTGGGACGTTTGTGCAGGTATCGTGATTGCGCAAGAAGCGGGAGCTGCTGTGGTGGGTAGTCAGGCCCACGCAAAGCAAGTTGTTGAACAAGATGATGCCGAGTTCAACAAGGTTACACCGGAATTGTTGACGGGGAGGAAATACGTCGTAGTTCGAGCGATCAATGGTGACAAGGATCAAGAGAACAGGATGGCCCAGAAAAAGATCTTGAAGGACTTTTATCAATGCGTCGACGAATGGGATCCATAAACCATCAACACCCCTTCACTACCGCCTCAACTTGGGCTTTTGTATATCGTTTGTCGAATCTAATCACACACACACACACACACATTCTTCCAAAGGAAATTGCACACAATGCAACGCAGACACTCCGAACAGGCCGTCAGATCAACAAGTCTCCGGTGTGGTAGATCTCTAACAGATGTGACCGAGTCAACGAAACCGTACAAAAGGACGAGGTTGAGGACGAAGACGAGGAGAAGGAGACGCCAACATTCGGAGCAAAACTCCGCCACGGAGCCACAATAGAAGCCACCTCGCTGGATAAGTCAAGTTTGAGCGACTCGTATGTATAATAACAAGGCGCAACAGAGACCTCCCCTGAGGCATCATTTACTCCACGCTTTCCCCCTTTCATCTCGTAGCCATGGAGGTTGTATGCTTGTGCTCCAGCGGTCAAGTTTTGGTGAAATTTGTGAGCCAAGTTCAAGAACATGGGTTACAGACACTTCCAACACAAATTGACACACAGGCTTTCATGCCGAACACGGAATGCAACCGTTATATTCGATCGCAACACTGCATTGCAGCAGTGGTGGAGGTGGTGGTATCAAAGAAGTGCCAAAGGAAAAGCTCTTCAGCCGTCCTGATTGGCGATGGGTATATAAAAAGAGAGTGCGTGTGGGAAAGAAAGACCAAAAAAGTCGTGGTGGAGCATCGAATCGTGGGGTGCTAGAGACCGATCATTCGCAATCAAACGGAAAGGTTGAAGGCTCAACAGTGAGAGATAGGATGACCATGAGTGCGATGCAGACCGAATAGTGATGCTTAAGCCCGTTGACCGGTACGTTGCGTTTTGCCCTTTGCAGCGGCAAGTATCTGTGCCTCGGCATCATCGATCTTGGCTTCGAGCGATCGCTTATCCTCAATTGCAGCCTGCATCTTGCCCTCCTTTGGAGGGGAACCGCTGTACATCGGCGTATTGCCCCCCATTCTAGCTGTGAAGGGCGAAAAGCTTCCGGTGGGAGTACTGTCACCAGCATCGATCCTTCCCTGCTGCTGTTGCTGTAGCTCGTTCCAGCCCTTTTCGTCGCGGTAGGCCTCCAAAGCGGCAACTGCGGCCTCTGCTGCAGCCCAGGCGACTCGCACCGCTTTGACATGCAAGTCGTGACGACGGACGAAGCGCATAGCACGGCTCGTTTCGCGGACGGCCAATTGCGTGCCCTTTTGTGAGAGGCTGTATTTGGAATCGATGGCAGCTAAAATCGAGACCATTTGTCGGAGTAGCTGATACAGCTGGGTTGGAAGTGGGGAGCGTTTAAGTGCTCGAGCGAGGGAGGCTGATAGGAGGATTAGACGGTCTTCGGCAGACTCTGCTCCTTGGGCGCCGTTCGTGCTGCCTTTAGGATGACCATAGCGTGCGAGATGCAGTTGCTGTTCCTGTGTCAGAGGGCCAGTTCCGGTGTTCGAGGTAACAGTGGTCGACTGTGCGTCGCTTGCAGCTTCGCTCCTCGCAACAGCGCCGAGACTGCTCGCCAGTGCCGAAGCAGCAGTGCTAGCAAAGGCAACCGCAAGTTCCCACTGCTTGTTATTCTGACTGATCGCCCTTGTCCAAGCAGTTCGCGGGGTGGCAGCACCACTGCCAGGCTGCGATGAAGAGAGACGAGGCGAAGCATCAATTGCGGGTATACTCTGAAGATCCTCCTCATTGTCCAAATCGGTAATCCTCGGGTCGTCCATCTCCTTGTCCTTCGACGATGAGACGGACCCAGAAGATGCCCTTCGAACAGCCCTTGGTGCGATCGCCGAGAGATTGGCCGACAACGCCGACAGCGCACCAGCACCGATATGCAGTCCAATGTCGAGCACCGAAGAACTGATCTTACCAGCCAAAGACGAAGAGCCGCGAGACGAGGCTTTCGCAGCGGCATGAGCGCGCGAAAAGTTGCCATCGCCAAAGATGGAGCTATTGGCAGGTACGGCTGTGTGATAGTGGTGGTGGATGACGTTTGCGGTAGGTGACGCTTCGTTATGCTGTCGTTGAAGTAGAAGCTTTTCGCGTTCAAGCTCTAGCTCGCGCTTCATGGCTTCCGCTTTCTCGAGCTCAGCCTTGGCATCAAAGCCCAGCTTTGACATTCCCTGTTCGAGACGCTGTCGAATGTCTTGCCTCTGCTTGCTGCTGAGTCCAGGTGCCTCCTTGTCCGAGATGGCAGAGATGAGATATCCGAGCGAAGAGATGTAAAGATCCAGTGAGAAGCCCAGATCGTCATCCTCTTGATCGTCGTGCTCATCCTCCGAAATCAAGCCAGCATCAACACCAGAATGTTCTGCGAAGCGAGTCAGCTGTCGACTATCTTCATTGCTGCTGCGGCTCGAAGAAGACCAAGCTGCTTTGAGCATGGGACGAGCCGAGGTATTTGGGCTGGCAGCCTGTTGCGCCGCCTTCTTAGCACGCTTCTCCTCCCATAACCTTTCATCCTCTTCGGCCGCCTGAGCAGCCTCAACAGCCAGACTGACGGCCTTGTCCAAACGCCTTCGATCGAGCTTAACCGGGCGCTTGACATCGATCGCCCCGTGACGCACCACATCTTTGGATTGGGTGCTAGACATGGGTGCCAGGGCCAGTCCGTCCCTGCGTCGGGGGCTTGTGGCACCGAGCGAAGAGCTATCGTCATTGGACGAAGACGAAGAAGCCGAGCTGGATGGCTGCGAGGTGGGAGCAAAGCGAGCGGGAACCCAAGCAGCTGCTAGACCGCGGATCGAGTTGATGGATCGAGCCCGGAAGCCACTTTGCCTCTGGACGCTCTTTTCTTCACTGGAAAGAGCATCGTCCAAGCGGGTTGAAGTGCGTCGTCCTGTAGCGGCGCTCAGAGACGATGTCCTGCCATGAGTGCCGCCGCGTGCACCTGTCTCTTGAGCCGGTCCCTTGGCATAAGAAGCTGGGGAGCGAGAAGCGGCGAACGAACGGGGCAAAGTCTGATAGTGAGCCGAGGAGGAAGGGTGAGGGGTATCCGCTTTGACAGTCGTCTCCGAGGGCGGCGGTGACGAAGGAGAAAGCAACGGAGAGCGTTCTGGCATCTCCTTGGGAGTCGAAGTTGGAGAGTATCGAACTGAAGTGGCAGGAGTATCCGCAGATGAAGAGACGGTGCTGGTCGACGGTTCTGGACTGTGAATGAGTCTGTCTGAATCGAGAGCGGTGCTTGCAGCCGAAGAAGTTCTTGACCCCAACGGTCTTTTGACTGGGTGTTCCAAATGTTGAGCTTCGGTCATGGTTGGCGAAGTAGGAGAAGGAAACGCGATAAACGACTGGTTGCTGCTGGTTTTGCTGTTGGACGCCCGGTCTGTCTGACCTCGGAAACGCACTTCCTCGCTCAAGTTGCGAAGCGTGGCTCGATCCTGAGCTTGTGTAGGGCGAGAAGAGGCTCTTGTCGAACCCCAGCCAGAACGTGCTTTGACAGGGCTCATTTCGTCTGCCCATTCAGTCGGAGTTGGGTGGGAGATCATGAGCTCGGCATCTGTGCTCAAGCCTCCCGAGTTGGATTGCGGGATGGAAGAGGATGTGGACCCTTCGCTAGCCAGACCTCCTGCGCTAGCGAGAAACGATCCGAGCGAGTTGAGGCTGGGTAGCAGTGAGGAGGTGCGCCTGTGATGACCCTTTTTGGGCGCGGCCGATGTCATGGTAGCGGTAGCGGTGGTGTTGTTGTTGTCGTCCTTGGCCATAGCAGTTGTGTGGACCGCGTTTTCGTCGGCGGTGAAGCCGGAAGGAGGGTGTGATGACATGGTGAGCTGA